AGGAGAAGCACTTCACCATCCCCAGCTCCGCCTTTATCAAGGCAATTAGTCCAACACAAAAGCGGTGAATGGGACCATGAGAAGATCACTGGCCTGTAAAATCCCCAATATTTCAAGACAGGCTGAGGCTAAATATGACTGCTTCTTTTTTTAAAAAAAAAAGAAAAGGGTGAGTAACCAGAGTGCTGACCTTTCTGATCACAATGCAAAAGAAACAACTCAGCAGATCCACAAAGATACAAACCAGCTACCAGAACGTAAAGGAAAGTTTACAAACACAGCAGCTGTAATTCCTTCCATAACATCGGAGGACCAAAGTTTGCGAGGAACAAAAGGAAATGATTAACAGGGGAAATATGCGTGGTACAAAAAAGACTTTTTAGTCCAAAAAGGGATGTCCATATTTAGAAACGCTTGATTCTTGTCGTCAGGGCCCTGCTTTTCCTGAATGCATTTCTCCTCCGTGAAAGAAAGAAGTCACAAAGGGAGTTTGTGGGCTGCTCTGTCACGTGTGCACAGTGCGCTGCTTATGTGCCTCGAGGAACAGGGGAAAAATGCAAAGACTGCACAGCAAGTAAACAAATAAGCAGAAACTTCTTGTTCTTATTTGGGAGATGGCTCCTGCCAAAAGCAAGGTGGCAGATGTGCCTTGGCACTCCTTGCTCGCATCTCCCACCGCCAGCGTCCCACAGGTGCCACCGTCACCCCCAGCCAACAAGCAGCATGAGCAACAGGCCTAGTGAGACAGCTGGATGCCAGCTCCTCAGGGCTTATCCCAGTCTCACAGCAGCCCTTGAAGAAAGGGCTCTCTTTAAGGCTGTCACTGATATCTTCAACTTGCGGCTTGCTCAGAAAAACAGAATCACAGAATTGTAGGGGCTGGAAGCAACCTCTATAAATCATCAAGTCCAACATCCCTGCCAAAGCAGGCTCCCCAGACCAGGTTGCACAGGTGGGCATCCAGGCAGGTCTTGAACATCCTCAGAGAAGGAGACTCCACAACCTCTCTGGGCAGCCCATCCTAGTGCTCTGTCACCCTTACTGTGAAGAAGTTCTTATGCACATTTGTGCAGAACTTTGTATGCTTGTTTGTGGCCATTTCCCCTTGCCCATGCACCTCTTAGGAAAGTCTGGCCCCGTCCCTTTGCCTCCTGCACCCTAGATATTAATAGGCATTGATCAGATCCTCTCTCAGTCTTCTTTTCTCAAGGCTGAACAGACCCAGGTCACTCAGCCTTTCCTCATAAGAGAGATGCTCCAGGCTCTTTAATATCTTTGTGGTCCTCTGCTGGACTCTCTCTAGGAGATCCCTGTCTTATTTGTACTGAGGAGCCCAGAACTGGACACAGTACACCAGGTGAGGCCTCATCAGGTAGAGCAGAGGGGGAGGATCACCCCCCCTTGACTTGCTGGCCACGCTCTTTTTAATGCACCCCAGGATGCCACTGGCTGCCTTGGCCACCAGAGCACACTGCTGGCTCATGGCCAACCTATTTCTACCAGGACCCCCAGGTCCCTCTCCACAGCGCTCCCCTCCAGCAGCTCATCCCCCAGCTGTACTGGTGCACGTGGTTATTCCTCCCTAGGTGCAATACTCTATACTTGCTCTTATTAAAGCTCATCTGGTTCCTCTCTGCCCAACTCTCCAGCCTGTCCAAGTCTCAATGAATGGCAGCACAGCCTTCTGGTGTGCCAGCCTTTCCTCCCAACCTCATATCATCAGCAAACTTGCTGAGAGTGGCTGTTATACCCTCACCAAGGTCACTGATAAAGACATTGAACAAGACTGGATCCAACACTGACCCTGAGGAGCACTGCTAAAAACAGACCTCCAACTGGACTCTGTGCCACTGATCACAACCCTCTGAGCTCTGCCAGTCAGCCAGTTCTTAACCCACCTTACTGTCCCATATATTCCACACTTCCTCAGCAAAACTCCCAGCAGCTTGTGCTCCAGAGCACGAGGCGCTGACAGCGGGAGGGGCAGCAGCCCAAGCCCACGGGCACCCTGATGAGCCCTCAGGAGCCCCAGCTTCAGGCTGGGTCATTGGCACCGGCCTGGAGCCATCCCACACCTCCCCTCATCTCATCGTACCCATACTGGCCTGGCAGGTGTCAGGTGCTGAGGGCCACTCCAGCCACAGATCGCCAAACACAGGCTGGAGCCCTCCTGACAAAAAGAGGCAGAGGCACACACAGCACTCTCCCTGCCAGGCACGTGGCTGTTTGACCCATGCTAGGTTGCAAGCTAAAACACGCTCAGAGAGCAACTGCTTGGTGGCCAGGTCCTCTCTGCTTCACTCCACAGTGTGGCTGCAATTTGCAGTCCAGTTCATTGCATCACAGTCCAGCAAACTGGAGGTCCAAAGCTGCGAGCATCCAGCTGTCAGCCAATGACATGCAGCCAGTGGCAACCCTCACACCTCGCTGCTGCAATAAGCATGGGTAGCCAACAGCTGGCCCGACACTGAGAGCAGACAGAGATGTGACTGCTGTGCCCCCAGGACGCAGGCTCCCACCTTCCTGGGGATTTCTGCTAGAGCTACTTGCTGCCGATTGATTCCGTGTGCATTTGGATCTTGATTTTTAATGAATGTTACGACAGAAAAACCAATGTGCTGCTTCCTCACACACGCATTAGGGTACCGACACAAGCAGCAGGAAACGATCTCATAGCACTGCCTTTGCTGAGGGCCACCCCCTGTGTTGGGGCTGCGCTGAAGCGGTTCCACCTCAGAGCCCGCCCAAGTCCCAGGGCGTGCATTCAGCTCACACAAAACATTTACCAGACTTCAAACGGATTTACAATTGTATGGGCTACAGAGCAGCAGGAGAGCGTGGCCTTGCAGCCCCAGCTCTCACTGCCACACTGCGGGGCTGAACTGGGCGAGGGGCAGGCTGTACCCTGCATTACAGCAGCCCGTCCATGCCACACCTTCCCCAGGCAGCTTGGTTTGAGGACACGCTGCATTTTGGCAGTGTGCTCTCAGGACGGAGCTGCAGCACCACGCACACACGCTGCACGGCAAGGCAGGTTGGAGCCTAGGGCCTCTGCCTGCTCTGCACCTCCACACGCAGTGCCCGCAGGTGATCTCCTTTCAGCAAAGGCTGCTCCATCTCTGCAACTCCGTATCTCAGGCATCCAGAGAGAGGATCCAACCAGCCCAGCCACCATCTGCCTTCCCAGAAAGGCAAACGGGTCCCACAGCTGCTGCACAGGCTGACTAGCTCCCCTCGAGCAGGCGCAGGGGATGCAGCAGAGCACATTTTGGGAATGAAAGACGTTTAGTAGCCAGCTCCAGTAAAGTCACACAAGGCGAAGTCCCCCTCCATCCCTCCCCTCAGAACTATTTCATTGTTACCCTTCTCTATGCAGAGTGAGACAATAAGAGACACACTTACTCTGCACAGCTTTGGAGTAAAGTTAAGCAAGGAGCTTCAGCTGCACAGCCGCCCAAAGCAGAACCGTCTGTTTGGAACACCACAAGCGTGTCAGAGCATTCTATCAAATCAACTGAGCCGTGTGAAACTGAGCAGTTCCCAGTATTTCAGATGACAACATCTCTGAACACAAATCAGCGGTGGTGGAGCAGGGGAAAAATCCCACATTATTTATATACATCCACACTGTGGTATTTATCAATGGCAGAGCACCAAGGGGACAGACGCACCAGCACTGCATCTGCAGTACCCAAATTCAAGTCCCCAGAGTCCTGCACTAGCACTGTCTCGAGCAGCATCCCCCAGGCATGCCGTATTTCAGGAATTTGCCAAGCAGGAACAGGTAGTACCTATGGCCCAAGACCTCCATCGAGCCCTGCAACTTGACAGATTTCCAATGTAACAAAGACAAAGAGGTGTCAGCTCCAGCTCTTATTTGCTAATACTATCAATAGGGACTCAGCTCACTAGCAGTTAATTCAAAGCCAAGCTCGATTTGCACAGCAGTGATCTACACTAATTCCCATATGTGGCTAAGGGGAGATTTTGCCAACTAGACAATAGGAACAGCATTAAAGCTCCTGAAACGATGCCATCGCTTTTCTCTTCTGCTCCACCACTTCCCATCAAATTTCCACGTCCTGGCATCTCCAGTCTTCTCCCTCATGACACAAGAGGCACAGGAAAGGCAGGGAATACGAGGGTACCTGTTTCTTTCCCAGGCACAGTTTTATTCAGCCTTTTAAAGCACAACTTCCCATAAAATGGGAGCCAATTTCACACTTCTTCTATTGTAGTTCTTTAAAGACATTTAAGAATTGCCATAATTAAGCAATTACAGAAGAATTTCCCAGATCCAACCAACACTAAACCATAATAAAAAAAATAATAAAAATCACCACGTATGGCTATATTCCATGAAAGTTCCTGACTTGTTTTTGCTCTCAGGTCCTACCCTATCTCAACATTAGACCAGCGTTTCGCCAAGATACCGCAGTTATCGAGAGGTCACAGAAAGCCAGACACAAGCCCAGTCAGGAGATGAGGATGTCTCTCCTCACCAGCATTGCTTCTCCTGCCTGCAAGCCTGGCCCTCGTGCATCTGCAGTTGGGCTCAGACGGAGCGGTGGCAGCACCCATCCCACACAGCAGTTCTCGCCTGCCAAGCGGGTGGCACACGGCAGCACACATCTGACGGTGTCACCAGGAGCACGTCTGCGAGCCCACCTCCTCCTGGCCCTCGGCAGATGGGCTGCGAGCCACAGCCAGAACGTGAGGGACAGGGTCAGAGCCACCGGCCCAGGACTGAGCAGGACAGCTCGACCCCAGGCTGCGGGACACCCTGCTGGAATTGGGAAGATGGGGTCTGCGCTGCAGTCAGTGCCACCGGGGGGGGAGAGGGATGCCATGCCCTGCCCCGCAGCACCCGGCCGCCTGGTGACACTGGGAAGGGCACGGAGCGAGCTCCTGCAGCACACTCCTAGTGCAGCAGCCAGCCTGGGGGCCTCGCTCCTGCCCAGGGTTAAGATGCTAGAAAAAAAACCACAAGTCTGAAACAGTTTAACACAGGACAAAAAAGGCACATTTTAATATGTACAGCAATGCATTTGGGCTATAAATTTACCCAACACAACTGAAAAAAAAAAAAAAAAAAAAATCCAAACTATGCTTTTATACTTATTCCATAGTATCAGCCTCATTCCTAGCCACCTACCTTTCTCTGCATCTCTGAATGCTGCTATATACACACACAAACAAACAATTACGTCATGAATGTTCATTTAGGCTCCCAAGTTCAAGTAATAAAGTTCAAACTTGCATAGCATCTTATGCCACTCAGCCATAAACAGTTATGATTGCATATTAGCTGGAGCAGCCATCTCTTTCAATTCAGCCAGTTTTGGCTGGCCACCATTTATTTTTATTTTTAATCCTTGAGTCAGAATGTTTCCTAAGTCACCAGCCCTGAGGGATGCCACAGACTTCGAAATGAACCTCTTGCTGTTGTTAAGATCCTTTTAAACCAGAAATTTAGAGTGTTGTCAAGAACAGTTTTAAAAATGTAATACTGTTTATTTTGCTTCAAAAACATTTCAGCATTCTAAACATACAAAAAAAACAGAACGTTGCAAATTTGTTTAAGTACAGAGTGTTTTTGAACTTCAGTTGCTGCACTGGCTCTTCACTGAGTTGGCGATGAAGAGATGTCTACAGTTTCAGTTTAAAAACTACCGCACTTAACTAAAAAAATCCGTACACTTCTCATGCCAGCTGAACCCCCTTCCACAACTAAGAATGGCAGCAGAATGCTATTTCACTATATACAGAAAGACAACTTTAAGCTAAATGGACGCCCACTGTAGTGTAAATAGATCTACCCTCACAGTGCATGCTTCGGGCCATGGCACCCCGGGGAACGTACGGCCTCTCCAGTAATCACTGCTCCTCTAAGGCATCATAACTCTAAGCATGTACCACAAGAATCTGTCTAGTTTTTACAAACTATAGATATGTACAGTTTATAACCCAGGATTTTCTAGCCAATAACCATATAGTAACACCACCTTACAAATTAAAAAAATGCTTGAAACATTTTTAAATGCTTTGTTACACCAACAGCAAAGTGCACAGAGTTAGGAGAACACTAGAGGGCCTTTTCATTTTAAAAATGTTTGGAAATATGTACAACTTTGATACAGTTTCAGGGTGCTCATTACACCCATGGCCACTTCATGTAAACCAGTTACAATTTCTAGAGCACTTTTAGAAACTACAACGCGATCGGAATCCAAATTTTTTCTTTTTTAATTAAGCCTAATAAGGGCAAGAGACACCATCTCAAATGAGAGGTGCTGCATTTACGGTGTTTCCCCTACTCTATGGTATTCACATGGAGACAAGTATTGTACAGTTTTATTCGTCATCATCATCTTCATCCTCCTCTTCTTCATCCTCCTCCTCCTCTTCGTCTTCTTCCTCTACCTTTTTCCGAGCAGCTTTGGTTGCCGCTCCCTTTGCGCCATCAAACTTTCCTTTAGACTTGTAGTCTGCAACATCCTGCAAAGTCAAGGGGATGTCTTAATTTGCTCTAAGTGCCAAACACCCAGCATTTGCACAGCGGTGCACGTTAGTGGAGGGGATTGTCTTCCTGCAGCCGCGGCCCCGGAGGGCAGGCAGCCCTGCGCCCCATGCTCATCATTACTTGTCTGAGGGTAAGGGAAGCCAACCTCTTGTCACTTTCCTGCTAGCAGGACACAGCTCCCCTAACAGCACGGCAAACTCTCTGCTGAAGCGACAGGTGTGCTTTGCCTGGGGACGTTCCTCCCTGCCGGAACGCACCTGTCTGCTTCTACCTGACTGCAACCTGAGGCACGTCCACTGTGAGAGCTGGGCCCTGCAGCACGCCGACAGTGCCTAACTGCAACAGCTGCAGGCAGCAGAGCCCCCACTGCTCAGCTCTGCCTGCACACAGAGGCACCAGCGAAGGAGAGACGCGTTACAACAGCCTTACCTTCTCGTACTTCTCCTTCAGCTTAGCGGCCTTATTGTTATAAGGCTGCTTTTCACCATCGCTGAGGTTGTTCCACATTTCACCAAGCTTCTTTGCTACATCCCCAATGGATATGCCAGGGTTTGTGGACTTGATCTTGGGGCGGAACTCTGAGCAGAACAGGAAGAAGCCAGACCTGGGGAGAAGCACCAGAGGACAGTGAGCAGCACAGCAGCACACCCCAGCAGCAGCCCCTTCCTGCCACGCAGCACAAAATCCTCACCTACACCTACGAGCGGACAAGTTCGTTTTTTAATTACTTTTTTTTAGTATGTATTTTGATTTTACTGCAGGCCAAACTTGCAGCCTTAAACCTTATCTTGTTTCTATTAAATGTTTTCTATCCCTGTCCGTCTGCAATTCCATCTTCAGTGTACAAGCCTCACTGCAGGCCTGCTGTCCGCATTCTTCACAGCCATGACTTTGAGAGCACTGAGTATCAACAGCTCGGTCAGCACTCGACATGCGCAGGGTTACGGGCAGCCCACAAATCCCACACAACACTCTCACCACCCTCGGTACTGCTATACCTGCAGTACGTCCCACTGACTTCTGTTATGGCAAATAACAGGCTAGTTGTAAGCGCTGCAAGATGAAGTGCAGTAACCCTCTGCACGCCATGCCTCAGGTACTTACGGTGGTCGCTTTGGGGCGTTGGGGTCCTTCTTCTTCTTGCCACCCTTAGCTGGGCCATAGTCCTTCATTTCTCTATCGTATCGTACCTTATCGGCCTTTGCCATTTCATCAAATTTAGCCTTCTCCTTGCTTGACATGGTCTAAAAAACACACAAAAAACACAAGACACCAAGCCATGTGATCACCCAATGGTCAATAGCTGACAAACTTTGAGTACACAAGGCAACACGCGCCAAGTCAACAGAGCCATTTCAGAATGTGTTTGTTTTCTAAGGGACCACTGTGGAGACCAAGGTCCTGGCCAGGACAGCGGCCACAGCCAGCACTGTGAGAGAGGTGGCCAGGTTGGCACAAGAGCTCACAGCTGTTATGGGGGCCAGCAGCACAACATTAGGCAGGGACGCAGCACACAGATCAGAGCAGTAGCAGCATCCTCTTCTGCCCTCAGATGGGCACAGGCAACACAAGCAGGTAACAGGACTAGTCATCACTTCAAATTAAGGTACCTTCCACCTCTCCGAGCACTTCTTAGAGAACTCTGCAAAGTTAACAGGAACCTCCGGGTTCTTCTTCTTGTGCTCCTCGCGGCACGTCTGCACAAAGAAGGCGTAGGCAGACATCTTGCCCTTGGGCTTCTTCGGGTCACCTTTAGCCATCCTGACTCTGTGGGGCAGAAGGGAGAATGGAACGCATGAACCTCAGAACACACGAGCGCACACACAGCGTGCAGCTGTTTGTACATAAACACCCCCAGAAACAACCTGCCCTCACTCACACCTCTCCTCCCACAACACCTCCTGCCATCTCCCACACGGCTCTGCAATTATTCTTCCTCGGGCTTGTGCAGCAGACCCGAGCCAAGCAGAACCCATCACAACCAAAGTTTTACATCCATATGTTTACATTATGCCAAAGAACGGGAGCTGAGCCATTAAGCTCACATACTGCTGCCCACAAAGCACTATTTGGAACCCCGTACGAAGTGTTTGAATCGGCCTCCACAGCAAGGCTCGAACCACACATCCAGCACCAGCTACGCCTCATCCCCTCAGCAGCCCCATCCCCATACTGGGGGCAGCCCCAGGGCCACATGGCTCCCAGTCCACAGGAGCGCCCCAAGCCGTGCACACAGCACGGTTTGGGTGGGTTGCAGGCAGGCGAGTGTGGCAGCCGGCACAAGGCTGGGAGCGGTGCGTGGCTGGGTGCGAGAAGCTCGCTTGGGGACCGATTGCCCCCACCCTACTTGTCTTTCCCTCAGGCAATAAAAATAATCCCGCAGCAACTCTCCCTATTCACGGCTTTCCAACGGTTTGAAAACCCGACTGTTATTGGCGCAACACGGCAAGGTGCCGGCGCGGGGCCGGAGGGCCCGGCCCGCCGCTGCCGCCGCTCGGGGCCGGCGGGGCGAGGCGCGGGACGGGAGGCGCGGGGCGGGCCGCGGCCTGACCGCGAAGTTCGGGGCGCGCAGGCCCGGCGCGTCCCGGCCTCCTCCCGCCATCTTCCGCCCCCGCCGCCAAGGTCACCGGCGGCGGCCGCGGGCACCTGCGGCGAGGCCGGGCCGGCGGCACGGCGGGCGGGCGGAGGGGGCAGCGGCGGCGGACACCGATAATTCATCTTCCATTTTGTGCGCCGCCTCCCGATGAAAGAAACTGCCCCTGAAATACGGCGGGGCGCCGGGCGGGGGGCGCGGGGCGGCGGCCGGGAGCGGCGGGGCGGCGGCACGGCCCGCGGCGGCACGGCCCGGCTCGGAGCGGGGAGCGGGAGCGGCGGCAGCGCCGCGCACCCGGGCCGGCCCCGCTCGCTAAGATGGCTTCTGCCGGCGCCGCGCGCTAACAAAGCCGCGCTCCCCCTCCGCCGCGCTCTGCCCCCGCGCCCGCCGCCCCCGGCCTCGGCCCCGCCGAAACACCGCCCCCGGCGGGAAGGGGCTCCGGGGCGGCCCCACGGGCGCGAGGGTGGCGGGGCCGGGGCGCGGAGCGGGCTGGAGGCGGCCCCCCCCCCCCCCAGCCTGCCTAGCGCAATGCTCTGTAACAAAGGCTCCCGTGCAGCCATTATAGCCGCGGCTCCGCTCCTCCGCGCCGCGAGAAAAAAGTGCCGCGAGCCTCCGGGCGGCCCCCCGCAGCCCAGCCGAGGGCGAAGGGCGCCCGGGGGGGGACGGCCGGGGCCGAAAGCGAAGGGTTTGGGTCCTCGGCGGGGCGTCGGGGGGGAGCGCTCCCCCGCCGCGACCCCCTCCCGCCGCCGCACGTCTTTCTTCCCCGCGCCGCGCTCCGGCGCCAGCCATGTTATGCGCGGCGGGCACGGCGCCGCAGCCGCCGCGAGCGCGGCCTCACGAGCGGCCCGGGCCGGGCCGAGGAGCGGCGACGTGGGCGGACGGAAGGGATCGGGGCGCCGGAGGCGGCGGCCGCGGTCCCGGCGCCGGGCCGGGCGCAGCGCGGCTCCCTGTCACTGCCGGAGCGACAGCCATGTTAATGCGGAGCCCGCGGCGGCACGGCGCCGCGCCGCGCGGCTGCAACTTTCCCCCGCCGTGCCGCTCCCACCCGGGGCACACGGCCGGGGCCGCGCGGCAGCAAGCGGGCGGCGGGAGGATCCCGGCCCAGGCGGGACGGGGCGGCGGCGGCGCGGAGCGGCGGTCCCGCGGCGGGCAGCGACCCTACGGAAGGAACGGGTGGGCGCGGGGCGCCCCGGGGCGCGGGGGGGGGTCCCGGCGGGGTAGCACGCAGGGACGGCTATGGGGCAGCCGCCGCGCCCCACTCCTCCAGCGGCACCAGGCCGTACGCCATGCGTCCCGGCCCCGCAGCGACCCGCGCGAGGGGAGAAAGTTTTGGGGAATTCTTTTTTTAATAAGGAGAAAAAAAAAAAAAAAAAAAAAAAAGCAAGAAAAAAAAAAAAGCGGAAAAAAAAAACCGAAAAAAAAAAAAAAAAGCCCCGGTACAGCGAAAGGAGAAGGGCGAGAGCGCGGGGCAGGGCGGGGCGCGGCGCACAGGGGGCAGCCGCCCCCCGAAAAGTTGCGGCGGGGCCGCACGTACCTGTATTGTTCGCGGCAGTGTGGCAGGAGCTGAGCGCAGGGCACGGCGCGGGCTCGGCGCGGCTCAGCCTCGCGTTGGCTGCCTACGAGAGCGGCCTGATTGGCTGCGGGGCTCCGCCGTTTAAAACAACCTCCTCGCCCGCCGATTGGCGTGCCGCCTCATGAATATTAAGCGCGGCAGCGCGGCGGTTGGCGGGCCCGGGTGAGGTCATTTGTTCAAAACGGGCGCCCGCCGGGGAACGGGGAGCGTGGCCGGCGCGCTCCGGGCGGGGTGACGGGGCGCGCCCCGAAGAACCAACCCCACCACGTGGCCTCGGCGGCTCCGCTACGCGGGTGCCCCCCAGAAGGACGGGGTCGAGTACGGGGTCGAGTACGGGGCCGCCCCCACCGCGGGGGCTCTCGGCGGCGCCGCGCTTTCTGCCCCGTTTAGGAAGCGGTCCGCCAAGCAGCGCGGCGCGAGAGAGGGCAGCGGGGCTGTAGGGATGAACGGAGAGCCCCAGCTGCGCTGTGGGATACAGCCGCCTCTGGCAGCCGCTCCTCGGTGGTTCCTTTCTCGGGGCCGCGAGGGCCTGATGCCCGCTTCGCTGGCCCCGTTTGCAGAGCTAGATTCTGTCGGGCACGGCAGCGGCGAGCCCCGTCCCGCTGCTGACAGCCGCGCGGGGCAGGAGGGGCTGCCCGGCGGCGCGTCACTAGCGCGGTAACCGCTGCTCCCCATCTCCGGGCACCGACCCGTCGGAGCGGAACCAGCACGGGCCGGCTGAGCGCCCGGAACCCCAACACGCGCCCGGGACCGAAACTGCGCCGGCGCCAGCCCACGGTATCCCAGTGCCTTCAAGGAAGGGGCAGTTTCCTCCACCGGACTGCCGCTGGGGCCGGCTGGCAGAACCGAGCTGTTGATCTAGGGCTGGGGTGGAAGGCGCGTACAGATAGCCAGAAGGAGCGGTTGCCCTCTTTATGGAACAGATAGCGACAAGGAGCCCCGCCAGGCAGCGGGTTCACCGCCAGCCCTCACAGCACGCAGCCGCAGGTTGACTGTGCTGGAAGAGATCGCATCAGAACGCCCGATGAGACGCAGCCTCGCGAGCTTCCTGTGTGCTGACCCTCTGGGGAGGCCCAGAGTTTCACAGAGAATTTACCCAAAGTCCTGCTCCTTCTCGGCCCAAATCCAGTTGTCATCTGCCGAGCAGAACTCTGAAGATGCCGAGGTCTGCAGCGATCTCCTGTGCTGCCCTGGGCCCTGCAAAGTGCCCTGCAGAACCAGCCCAGCTCTCCTCTCGCCCTAGTTCCACGTTCTCTAACCAAAAGCTTAAAACAAGGGGCTCATTCATAAACATTAATGAGCCTACCTCAGGGACTGTATTCTGTAGCATCATCATAAAATAACATAAGCAACACTACTGCAGGATGATCTCTTTGTAGCTGACAAACATCCCTCTCACCTATTTTTAGGGATACTTTAAAAAGCATTTCAAACTAGTTGAATAATTAAGGCTTTTTTTTTTTTTTTTTTCTTTGGCTCTGGAGTTGTATGGGTTTTTTTTTTGCTCTGAAACACCTTCTTTCTAGAGTTATGACCGGCCTATAGAGCATACCAGCCTGGAACAGCCCTGCCCATCACCTCCTGAGCATCCCTCCCATTTCTCATAGGCCAAGAGAAACAGTTCTTGAGATGCTTTGTTGCTGAGATGCAACAGTCCCCGATCTTAGGAAGATCAGGGAAATTCTGACAGCTGGTCAAGAGGCAAAGGAGATATTTTGGTAGCTGACGGACAACCGGGTGGAAGGCTTTGTCCCAGCACTCGCAGCATAGTTTTGAAAGCATTGGAGGGCTGAGTAACAAACAAGGTGAATGTAACGCCCCAGGAAACACACCTACTCACCCCCAGAGCTGCCACTGCTGAAACAAATCTCCCCCAAGTGCCCTCTGCACCATGCACTGCACCTGGCCCAGCGTCTGAGCACCTTCCTGTGGCGCACTAAGAAAGCAGCCCAGAAAATTAGCTGAGCAAACTTAATGTTTTGCCACAACACCTTCCAGGCCACGTGATCCTGCTTCCTCCCACAGCCTGGCTCTGGCACCTGAGCCCTGAGAGCTCACTAACCTCACAAAATCAGAGCCCTATGCTTCACCTTTCTTTCTCAGGTGAATTTTTTGCTGGTTTAGTGAACCAAACCAATGTAACAGGGAGTTGGGTGAGTCCCAGAGCCAAGGCAGTGAGGATGCAGTCACGTACAGCCAGGATCAGACAGCACCTGTTTGGGTGGCAGCTCATCCAAGGACCAGCTCTACTCTCCTGCCCAAATGCATCTTAACAAAACATCTATGTCTTAGCAACTGGGATGAGGAAAGGGAGGGGGTCATTCCATGTCTCCTAAGAAGTATGAGTTTGGTAGTTGTTAGGGTTTTCCGTATATATATATTTTTAATAGACAGACTATCACATCCTTATGCTATAGTAAACATGAGAAACAATCCAAAACTAGAAGAAACATCAGGATGCCTGGCTCTTGAAAGGCTTGCAGTGATCCCAGGATGCAAAGAGAACTCAATGCACACCCTTCAGAAAGGGTGACCTGACCCCCACAGTTGCTACAGACAGGCTTTATTCTGCAAATACATGCTACATTTTCAAGCAAGTGTAAGCCATGCTCTGCATTCTACAGCAAGACCCAGGTCAGACAGTACCTAGAGCATAAGTAAGGACTGAGACATAAAATTGAAGATGAGGCACCATAGCAAGCAGACAGCTTCAAACACTTGCTGAGAAGACTGACTGCAAAGTCTTGTCCCAGCTGGCACTGCCAGGCACTGAAGGCTTCCTTTCTCTGTAGGTTGTGTTGGTGCTTTCCAGGAAACAACAGAGCTGCAAATTGTTGAGGCCAAGTCAATACCTGCCAACATGGAATGACATCTCCTCCTCAGCTAGAGATGATTAGAACTGGGAGGCTGCTGTGAAAGAGTCTGGGAGCTACTGAGGACTCCTTTAACAAATCAATGGATTATTCACAGATACAGAAAAGCCATCCACAGTTACAAATGAAATTCTTTCTTCTGCTCCCCAGAAGTGCCTGAGGTCTAGGTTAAGTTCACCTGTTTTCAGCCAACAGCTAGACTTTGAACAGTTCGCAGCTTGCTGAGGATGGGCATCTCAGCTCTATCTGTCCTACTCCAGTCATGTCAGGCTGCTAATGAAGTATGGCCCACCATGTATTTAAGCCCTTCAGAAATAGAAGCGTTGAAAGGGTATTTGTGGAAGTGCTCATATGATGGGTGGAATATGGAAACTGCATCTTCACCAGCCAGCACGGTTCAGCCAGCCATTCTTGCAACGCACCTCGACCCCTTCTCATCGGTGAAACCACGAACAGTTCAGAGGGGTCTCACAGGACAACAGAATATGAAAGGTTATTCCCCAAGACGTTCAGTGACCTTCCCCATCTGCAGCCAGCTTGCCTCAGTGCAGAACGTTTGCCTGACACTGATTTCTACTTGACCTCTGTGCCATGCTTTGCTCAGCAGTTGGGATGATTTAAGCCCAACAGTAGGTTTGAACTGGTGCTGTGTCTTTGTTGGATTTGTCCAACAGGGGTCAGAGTGCAGCATGCTGCTTGTGTTGGCTGTCTTGATCACAGGTAGCATCACCCGTAACACTGACAAGGTGCGCTGGGTCACAGGAACAAGACGAGTACATATGCCTGCTGCTCACGGGGTGAAGAAGTTTATGAATACAATTCTGGTAAATATTCAGTCCTATCAAGCATGTAACTCCATTCCTGTGACATGTTTATTCAAGCAACCTGGGTATCCAACATCAGCACACCAAAGATGCTCTCAGGGCCCCCGCAGAAACACCAGTGGGAACTGCCCACCTCCGCTGGGGGTTACAGGTGCTGGCGAACGGTCCTGCCATAAGACCTGTCCTGGGCTTGAAGGTTCACAGACAGCGTCACCCCAGCACACAGCTCTGTAAAATGCTTCTGGTGCTGACGCTGCAGCCCCAGTGTATCGCAACGTGCTCCTTACAGCAGCACGTCAAAGCCGCCCTGCTCTCAGCTCTTCCCACTGTGGTTGGGAAGCTGCAGTTGTAGCGGTGTAATTACAACCATTTGGCACTTGCACTTCTGTCTGGATCGCATCTCTTCGCGACCCTTACCCACCGGCAAAGTCCTCTAGTGAAGACTTGACCCGAATGAAAAGGCTGATATACACAAATCCGCGGGGTGCTGCCAGTAATTAGAAATGAAGGGGGGGGAAATCCCTCCTAGGAACCTAACAAAGCCAGGAAACCTTTTTAAGCAAAACCAGCCTATCAGAGTGACAGAGCTGACATTTAAGGTTGGATGGACAATAGCGACAAGAAAAGTGCTAAATGACCTGTTCATCTCAACAGCATATTCATTAGGCTAGTTAGGGAGCTGTTTCAAAAGCCTTCAGTCCGGACCTAGCCTCTTCCATCTCTGACCTTCCGTGTTAACATGCAGTAGAGATGAACAAGGTCAGTTAACCATTCTCTTACTGGTATAGTTGAAAGCTATAGGCAGAGATTTCCCTTACAAGAATGTATTTATTTATTACATCAGGAGCTTGACTTCGATAAAAATGAGGAGCAATCCACTCCTATCCATGTGAAACTCCCACTCTTGCAATATGTGAAACTTCCATACGTGGATTTTCTTATGCCCATGGTCACTAAAGTTGAATTCTAAGTCCTGTAACTACTGTAAAATATTTGTAATTGTTCACTGGGATCTCAGCCAGTGAGAATATTTCCTCTCTAACCTATTAAAAACAAAGAGTTATCTTTAATACATGCTGAAAACAGAAAATAAAATTAGCAATAGCATTTAAGCATCTTGCCAGCACATAAGTTCAGAGAGACAGAGGTTAATCTGATCCCACTTCAACTCTGGGAAACCCAGTGCTCCAACAATTAAAATACTGGACCAGATGAACAGATGACCCTCCAACCCCAATCCCCCAGTGGGGCGGCACAGCCTGTTATCCTGCATAGCCACGTTCCATTAAGCTGACACCTCTGCAGGAGTAGGATACATTCCCAGTTGCACACACAAAATTAATTATTGTCAGATGCGCTTCACGGGGACTAAGGTGAGAAATACAAGTTCG